AACAAAAAAAAAAAGGTGGTTTTTTTTTTCCAAAAAGTTGTAATTTACTATTGCTATACAGTAAACATTCAAGTATTTTTTGAAACATATTCATTGTAGTGCATTATGAATAGTTTATAGTCTGTTTACCACTAAAAAAAAAGAACTCTAATGTATGTCAAAAATTTTTACAGATCTGTTGTAAATAAGAATTAACTTTGAGGGGATTCAAAAAAACTCACTGATAAAACAGTTTTTTTAGAAAGCATAATGAAGCGAACATTTTTAGTTAATATCCAGACACTAAATTTTTGTGAGATGAAAAACTAGTTTCTAGTTGCTGGTCTGATGCAAACTACAAAAACTTTACTACCTTTTGTCTGCTTTTAAACATAATACTTTTGAGCGCAATGTATCAGCGCTGGGTACAGTTGAACGTATAAATACAACAGATTGTTGTTTTGTAAAATCAGTGGTCGAAATAGCACTTCATGCCGCACTACAAGTTGGTGTATTTCAATATTCGAGCCCTTGGTGAAGGAATTCGACTTCTGTTTGCTTACAGCGGAACTCAATTTGAAGATGTGCGTATTAGTCGAGAAGAGTGGCCAAACCTTAAACCAAGTATAATTTTAAGAAATGATCGCTACAAATGTTATATTTTGATCATCTATTTTTTTTTACAAGAAATTTTTTTCTTAACAGATACTGTTTGAAGCATTTCAGCAATGCCATTTAAACAGATTCCAATTCTTGATGTGGACGGCATAATAATACCACAATCAGCTGCGATTTGTAGGTATCTTGGAAAGCAGTTTGGTGAGAGTACAGTATTTTTTTTTTTAGAAAATGTAAAAATTTAATAATATCAATAATACTAATGATAACGCTGAACTTTGTAGGTTTGGTACCCGAATGTCCCATAGAAGCTGCCTTAGTTGATGCAGTATTCGATGCTCACAAAGACTTCTACACTGCAAGTGCACCTTACTTAAAAATTGTCTATGGTTACATCGAGGGAGATAAGGTTGATTAAATTTATAAGTAATAATTAAATAGTAGACTGCTATGAAACGCACTTACATATCCAGTGATATCTTTAAGAGCAAAAAAAATTTTTTTTTAGACTATATTTTATTAGATTAAATTAACAAAGCACTGCCAACAAGTTTCTGGTACGAAAAAGTAGAAAAAAAAATTTGTTTTTCCAGGATAAGCAGCTGAAAGAATGTGCAATACCGGCTCGTGATAAATATTTTCCGGGTCTTGTTCAATTTCTAAAAAATGCTGATAGCGGTTATCTTGTTGGTAAAAAAATAACCTGGGCAGATATATATATTGCTGACCATCTTACAACAATTGAAGAATGTTTCCCAAATATGTTTGACGGTTATCCAAAAGTGAAAGAATTCTGTGAAAGAATTCTCGAGATTCCACAACTAAAAAAATGGATACAAGAACGTCCAAAAGTTCCATATTAAAAAAAAAAAAAAAAAAAA